ACAAAACATATGTTTCAAACAAAGTAGTCTATACTCCATAAACTTTTTTTTTTTTTACTCTTTCTTGGAAATAAATATATCTATATGTATTTATTTATTTGTGTATTATCTTGTGTATAATCCCAGTATAATTTGCAGTAATGTTACGGGTCCCTTACTATTAGTCTGGCTATTAGTCTATCTGGAGTGGAATTGTGTGTGTATTATACTTTTAGCTTTCCAAAATGAGCAATTCCGAGGTTCAAAACATAAATATAAATAAATATTAAATATATGTAATGAACCTGTACACCGATATGGATAGAAACACCTGTTGTGTATATATTTTTAATATGTATATGTGCGCGTGTGTGTGTTTATGTACGTATGTATAGATATATACATGCTTTGTTTTCTAATCATAATATCTATAAAGAACCTTGAAGGAGCTTCTTGGATAGGATATTGAAAAATTCATATTGTATGTGTACAAATCTAGCTAAGCTTGTACTACTATTATAGTGTGGACATTTCACAAAAAGACGTATATATATATATATATATATATATATATATCTATTTACCGGTGACTTTATATTGATTTATATAAAATAAAATAAAGTAAAATAGAAAATGTATGTTATTTCTATTTAAAGAAATTTGATACTCCAATACTTCAAAAAAAGTAAGAATGTTTATTATTACACATAAAAATAAAAAATAAAAATAAAGATGCTGAAAACACAAGGCAAGTGATCGGACAAGGAATAAGATGGGTAAAAATTTTTGTACTAGTATGGACTAGAATAGGAGAAGGTTTCCACACTGGTGGGTTTGGACTAGTTGAGCATACCGCTAGAGCCCGGAAATATTATGATATTTTACTGCAATACAATACAATATAATACAATACAGCACAATAAACACACTCCCCTCTCTTTTTCTTTATTTCGTTTTGTAATGTTTGATTTATTGCATAGTTATAAGGCACCCGGTAAAACAATTCCTCAATACATACATTAATGCGTATACAGATCTATCTATCTATATTAGCATATTTAATCTTACATTCAAAAGGAATAATAGAATACTAGAAAAAGATATTTGCCTCAATAATATATTGCCGATCTATTCATTGTAGTTGTTTCACAAGAAAGAAAAGAAAAGAAAAGAAAAGACAGCTCTTCATGTTCGTGCCAATAATATATATATATAACTATGACAACCGCTTGACCGTGTTGCTTGAGAATAATTATTTGTTTGCGTTGATAGGGTAATGATGACTTTTTATTCTTTTTATTGACTTTTGTTGTTGCTTTTCGAAAAGGAATTAAATGTTGTAAAAATAATAATAATTAGAATAAAACTAATATAAATAAATGTTGATTTTTTATTCTGGTACAACAAATATGAGTTTTCTAGAAGAATACTTTTTTATTAGAAACTAATAAAAATAAAAATAAAAATTGTTTTGGAATATTTAGACTCCGCTACATTTATTTTTATTTTAGTTTATTTTTCGGTGTAACTAAGCAACAAATAAATAAATAAATGATAAATACAATAAATATAATAAATATTGTATATTATATACATAAATGTGTGTAACTAGGCAACACACAAGAATAAAAAAATAAGATTTTCCTGGTAATAAATTAAACATTGATAACCATGAAAGCTTTTTTTTTTCGTAGACATTTATATATATATATCTATAAATGTATATATAAAGTTTTTATTTATTCAAGTGAGGTTGTGCGTAATAGCGCGCAAATAAAATACTTGTTGGTAGGGAAAGCGAAAAAGAAAAAGAAAGAACAGGACAGGACAGGGGCTAAACAGATGACCAAGTCAGGATCTAAGAAATTAATATACTCCCCGCAAAGATCTCAAAACAAAATACCTTACTATAATATAGTAAGATATTATGTATATACATCTGTATATTGTCTATATTGTAAGTCAACTATAGTATATTTTATTTCAAAAAAAAAGAGAGAGAGGAAAGGGCAAATACAAGAAACGTCAAGACTTCTTCTAAAAAGACTTGCTGTCAAGAAAGTCAAAATGAAATCAAATAATATACAATAAAATAGAATAAAATAAGATAAGAAGGAGTTGATGTTCTTGTTAAAGCAAGGCAAGGCAAGGCAAGGGAGTTACATATATAGAAATAAAGAAAAGAAAAGAATATAGATTTAATAAATAATAATAAAAGAAGAAAGAATAAAGAACGTGAAAAGAAAAGAAAAAAGGAAAATTATTATGCAAAAACCACAGGCAGATATCTTTCTATTATCTTATTCTTGAACCAAAGAGAAAATGAACAAGATATCCAGGAGACTTTAGTATAATTATTATTATTCTCTCTTCTTAATGAAGTTTTAAGGAGTAAAAAAGAATATAGCAAAGCAAAAAGGATGTGTTAAAAATGAATTACACATCATAAGGTCCCTTGGAAAGGAAATAAGGGTATCTTGATTTGAGCGTGAATCAACAAAGAAAAAAAAGAGAGAAAATAGTGCATTTTATAGTTTCTGGGTTATGTCAAAGGACGGGAAAAATAAATATACTATAGAAGATTTTTATGATTCCATGGCATTTTTTTTTTACTATCTTTCTTTTTGATTACCATTTTACTACTCTTTTTTACTATTTTTTTTTGTATTATATTATAATACATTCGCTTATGATCTTTGGGCAAAGCTATAGAAAGTTATTTTATCAATTATTATAATAAAGTACAGATTGATCAATGAATTTTCAACGAATTAGCACATATATTTTTAATTGATCAATAAATAAGTATATTTGAATAAATCTATTGATTCTACTAGACAACAAAAATCCAAAGGAGATGAATAGAGAGGGGGTGAGAGAGGGGGTGAAAGGGAGGGGGTGGAAGGAGGTGGGGGTTGAACTTTCATATATTTTATTTTTAATAATAATACTAATAATAATAGATATGGATATACAGTAGGGGCTGAATAATGATATTCAAAATAATTTTATATATACATATATTTTTACTTGCCTAATTATTTATTGTTGTTGTTGTTGATAGGCTTTTTATATACAGTAGTAAATCTCTTTATAGTAATGTATTGTGAGTACAAAAATATTACATAAAATACACACACACACACACACAAAATATATATATATATAAATTCAAATGAATTATGGATTCACACAGAAGAAAAGAAGAAACCAAATACATATAAACAGAGATGCAAATAGAGATGCGAATGCAAAAAAATAATATAGGCATTCTCACCGATCAACTTTAACCAGCGCCGCCTTTTTCTTTTTTCCCTTTCTATTCTAGTTCCTTACAGATTCCAGATCGAGTTGTTTTTTCTTTTTAGGTAGCCTCCCAAATTGATATGGAAAACCCGGCTTATTGGCGCAGAGGGTGACATCAGCAATGGTCCCAGGTGTTTTCCACAAATCCAGAAATGTCTCTCTTTCTCTCTCTCCCTCTCTTTCTCTCCCTCTCTCCCTCTCTCTTTCTTTCTTTCTTTTTTTGGTTCCTTCTTATTCTTCTTTTTGCCTTCTTCTATACTCTCATTGCGCAAGGTTCTTTTAGATTGTACGTGGAATGTTTAAAGAAAAACATACAAAAAAACCAGTATTTTCTCGTCTTGACTATATTGATTCCTCATTCGAATGACTCATCTCACCCTGACAACTACCTCTTTTATATATATATATATATATTATATTATTAAAAAAATAAATAAAGAAAGAAAAAAGTAATCCGACAATCAGGAGCTCCATTACTCTTTTGGTTTCATATAGTCCTGGACATCCCCTATCTTCCCAGGCAATCTCAACTAAATTTACACACCAAACACCCTTGCCTGTGCCTGTGCCTGTGCCTGTGCCCGTGTCTGTGCCTGTGCCTGTTTTTTGTGCCTGTGCCTATACACCTCCGCTTCCGCCTCCACCTCCGCCTCCATTATCCACACCCATATACACTTACATCAGCAACGAATACAAGTTATAAATATCAGCGATAACAAAAGTGATATCTTTTTTAGATTATTATTTTTTTCTGTCCACTCGTTTTTCCGGACTTTTTATAATTATCTATAAAAGAAAAGGCGACTATTTAATTTTCAACTCTTTCTTGTCGACTATCAACACAGCCCTCTATAATACAGACAGGCGGTGAAACTACACAGAAAAAGTTCAAGTTCAAAGGTATGTTGATATTTAAGTCATGTTCAAATAATCATAATAGTAATGGAAATATCGAGATTAAGATTAAGAATACATTATTGCTATTATTCTTTATATTTATTCAAATACATAAACGAAAACAAATAAAAAAACGATCCAACAGAGTGCAGTAATAATGAGATTGTTATTTTTTTTTTAAAAAAAAACTTTAATAATAACCATTCCTTTTGGCATATGATATGTTAGCCAAAAACCACCGAGGCTGAAAATCTTCTTTTAATATTCAATATCTCCTCTCCTGATCATGACAATATGACTTCAGATAGAAGAGATAGTTCACGGTCAAGCAGTAGCATCCGTAGTAGTATTAGCGGTACAAGTAATGCAAGTGATAGCGAGGGTCTCGGGTTACGCTTTGCAAAGTAAGCATATTAAAGAAATTGTCTTCAAAAGCTTGTATATATATATATATTGACTTCCAATATCAATTTACATGATTAATGATATATTAATTATTAATTACTATTTATGAACAATGAATTTATTATTATTATTTTTAGATCAAAAAGTATGGAAAACGGAGAGATGTCTGATATGAAGGGTCATAATGTTGCAATCAATTTGTCAAGATCAAACAGCAATGACTACACAATATTGAGTACATCTCCAAACACAAAAACACAGGCTGCGTTTGTCAACAAGGTTTACAAGTATGTCCAATATTTATTTATTTAATAATAATAGTGCTCTTGAATAATCAAATCAAAGCAATTCAAATAATTTGCTTTTTTTTATCTTCTTTTTAACCTAATGATGATAATAATAATAATAATAATAGAATGCTAGAGGACCCAGAGATTCAAGAATTGATTTCATGGTCAAGAAGTGGAGATTTATTCAGTGTCGCAAATCCTACAGTATTCTCAAAGATAGTACTTCCTCAATACTTTAAGCACAACAACTGGCAAAGTTTTGTTCGCCAACTCAATAGTAAGCAATATTACAGTTCATTTAATTTCTTTGGTTATTAATTCTCATGCAACTTCTTTCTTTCTATCTTTCTTTTTATTTCTTTTTTTCCTTTTCCCTTTTTATTTTCTCCTTTCTTCTTCCTTTTGTTCCTTTTCTTTAGTGTATGGATTTCACAAAGTAAATGACATGATACATTCAAACCTTACAAACGAAACACAAACTTGGGAATTCAGACACCCTCATTTCCGAAGGGGAGCGGTCGACGACTTACAGAACATCAAAAGAAAGAGCGCAAAAACCAACACAATGTCACCTGCACGACCACTACGAATTCCAGACAATGCAGATACTGAAGAAGATCCTTATATACCATTGCAGAAACATCTACACACTGTCGAAGATCAGCTGGTTAGCGTAACTAATGCATGCGATATATTGCGCAGTGAAGTTGGAAGTCTGCGGGTCATCCTGTTGAAACAACAAGAAGTAAGAATATTCTTTTTTTCTCTTAATCAAATAATATAAGAAAAAACAACAACAAAAAACAATTCTACACGATTTTGAATTATTAACAAATGACTAGATAATGCAAGACATGCTTGGTGTATTTACAGTATCTCACAATGATCGTAAGTTTCTTTTTTTTTTTAATATATTTTATACTTTATTGTTATTATTACTATCATTTGGTTACTAGACATATACGCATACCCATACGCATACGCATACATATACGCATACATATACATATACATGGAATATAATAAAATTTAATCTAATAAAATGTGTAGATGAACAAACTAAGAAGAGAAAAACATGCCAAACCAATCGTATGTATATACCCGCAAAATCTACCACTGTTTTTTTTTCGTTATCGAATAGCCGAAGATAATGTCAAATATTAACATTTTTCTTTAACTTTGCTGGGTAAAGTAGAGAAACTAAGACATCAAGTAGTCCAACTGAAGGAATACACACGAGTAGCAGGCCAATCAAGTCGACCATCAGATGATTCTAGCTATTTCTCTGTAGAACCTGTTTCGGGAGCTGCATGGCCAACTGTTGCACCTATGCGGCACCCTACATCTGAAAGTGAGGTCAATACGCCAAACCGTCGTTCGAGTGATAACTCCAGTCTGATGTCAGAGACCTCTGTATCTCAATATCGCCCATCAATGGTATCTTGGAAAGCAAACATGAACAACACCAACGCCAGCAATTCCAACAACATCATAATTAACAGTAACACTAACAGCAATAACAGTAATAATATTCCTGATGATGAAATCTCTCGTATGAGATCAATGTCAACACACTCTCCTGCAAAAATGAAGCACGTCAATTACCCAAAAAGTAGAAAACACAGCCATGAATCCATAAACAGCACTTCGCCCTCAGAAAGATCAAAGAATAACAGACCAAACACAAAGCAAATATCTTCTGTAGACTGTCTGACAGAATACAAAGAGAATATCAACATCAACAACATTAACAGCATTAACAGCATTAACAACATTAACAACGTCGGCAATGTCAGCAATGTAATCAACAACAACAGTACTACTAATCTTGCAGGTAAACCCAAAGTGCCATTAATAATCAAATATCTTCTGTTCTTAAATATTTATTTAAACTTCTTTTATTTTGTAGAAGGAAACCCTGTTGTTCAAAATGTGATGGGTTTGGGTAAAAGGTCACGATTATTAAACCCTGAACCATCAGAAGAGAAGATTATATCAGGAAAGTCTATACACCCACAATATCACCCAAAATCACACCCACACATGTATTGGTAAAATAAATAAATAAATAATAAAATAATAAAAAAGATAATTGTTCAAGATCAATTAATAATCGGTAATAATTGTCAATAATAGATCGAGACGAGTGTCAGTACTTAAGGCACAGAGAAACACAAAGGAATACACAAGATCATATTATGTATCTTCAATAACTGAATTGTATAGAACTTGTTATTATTATTTTTATTATTATTTTTTCAAGTACATTTTGCTTTTTATTACTACTTTTTTATTTTTACTTTTTTTTTTTTTACTTTATATTTTTCATGTAATTTTACTACTGTTAGCATACTTTCTTTCATTTGCCTTGAGGTTTTGATACTCATCTAACTTAAGCTCCTTTAACGGTTTCTGTTTCTGTTTTTTTTTCTATATATATGTGTGCAAGAGTAAGAATAATAATAAGACTAAGAATAATCAGACAAAAAGACTGACAGACAAGGAAGCAGGCAGGCAGGCAGGCAGGCAAGAGAGAGAGAGAGAGAGAATGAGAATAAAAGAGAGAAATAAAAAGAAAAGGAAAAAAAATACGTACGTGACTTTCTTTATTATTTTTGTATATTATGTAATATATACATACATTACTACTTGTAGCTTAATCAAAATTAATAAAGTTGTATTGTGGTGAAAGTGTCTATAATTGTATAATGTTTTTTGATATGATTTCTCTCTCTCACATACACCCAAACAAACACCAATATATATATATATGTATATGTATACATAATGAAAATGCCTTAGTTAATTGAACTATGTATTCATCATTATACAATGTTGTATGCTTAGACTAAAAATTGAACCCTAATACCTGGGCTTTTTTTTTTTTTTTTTTTTTTTTAGAAAAAGGTTAAAACCCTGAGCTTTAAATATGAACGATTTTCTTGATTTTCTTTTCCAGTTTTTTGGTTGGGTGGATCATACAAATTGTTAATATAAATTTACTATTTTTAAATAATAAATAATAAAAAAATGTTAAACTAATTCTACGATTTGATTTGTTTCATTTTCATTAGTTTTGTATTTTTTACGAAAAGAAATAAAGGGAAAAAAATCCCGAGAAAATCGCCCGAAAAGAAAAAGAGCATTCAAAGTATTTAGACATGAAAAGCGTAAATTATTTTGCAAGGCAAATGTTTCGATTATAGAGGAGTAAAAAAAAGAACTATGATCGGGAAAAACACACGAAAATTGTAAAAGGGTCCAGGGCTCTCAATTATTACAAAGTTCTTCTTTCCTTCCTTCTTTCTTTGTTTCTTTATTTATTTGTTTATTTGTTTTTTAGCTCCTTTGAAATTCAGAAATTCATTTTAGCTTTGTGCAGAGATTTGTTTTTTTTTCTTTTTTCTTCTATTACTAAAGTTACCTCGCTTTATCGAATGTTTTTTTTTTGGTCTTTTATTTTATGTAAATATTCTTAAGCAATTATTATAGACACAACTTATTTTTTATACGATTTATATGTTGCCTTTAACAAAGAATATTATTTTACTCATTACTTATAGTAGTAAAATCTATGCCTATATTTATATTTTATACACAGTCGGGCTGTTTTTACCCGAGTTTTCAATATTTGAGGGGTTCCTTTCAAGAGCGAGAATTCGGAGAACAGTGTAGAATTTGCTAGTACAGGTCAAATCTATTTAATATCATAGGTTATTGTTTTTATTTGAAAAACCAAAAATTAAAAAATATCGTTTGACGTATAGTAAGAATATTAAGTATCTAATTCCAGAAAAAATTATAAAGAAATTCAAATACTCGCTTTGTTTATATATATATATATATATATATATTACATTCAACAAAATAGATGTCTGTGTTTATGTTTATGTTTCTGCTTCTTTTTGGTGGTAATATTAATGTCACTCTATCAAGCTATATTAAGTTGAAATAAAATTATCGTTGCTGCTGCTGCTGCTGCTGCTGCTGCTGTTGTTGTTGTTATTTTTGCTGGTGGCTATATATCTCTATATTTACGACTATCGATTCTTTGCCTGATATAATAAGATCTGCAATACACAAATCTTCTTTGAAAACATTGGCCTGCAGGCGACTTTTCAATATTTCGCATAAGTCATCTTTTATTAGTATTAATATTGCTACATAAGTCATCTTTTATTAGTATTAATATTGCTACATATCTTTTTTTTTTTCAAAAAGAAAATCACCTAGCTTACATTGCTTTTTTGATCTTAATCCTTTGGTCTATGCCATAATTAGAATTACACTCAGCACAACCAATGTTACCCTTTCAAACTATGGACATTAAATCTACAACAAACTGGGTTATTTTGCATCTATTTATCTATCAATCTATCAATCTATTTATCTATTTATACTATACTATATTATACTATATTTTGGTCTTTTCTTCTTCTTCTTATGGCTCATTAGAAACCGACTAGTAATTTGAACTCTAAAACGAAAAAAAAAAGATATTGAACCATTCTTGTGGGTTCTTTATCCCATTTTAAAAGCGAAAGATCCGAGAGTGTTTTAGATGTGTAATAATTTATTTATTTTTGAAAAAATTACTATCTGTGAAACTTCTTCTTTTCTGATAATATTTCTCTTTGTACTTGTGTAATAAACTAAACACATGACAAAAGTTGTACCGTACATATTTGACTTTCTTTTTTCTTTTCTTTAAAAATAAAATCCATACACAATCACACACATAGGCGCACAGCCCGAGTACATATATATGTGTATATATTGATAATAGCTATTTCTCAAGTTCTCTTACAATCGATATTTTCTTCAACTATTATTGTACAGTTTTTTTCAGCAACCGCACAAAAAATACTATTGATAATCTTATTCTTTGTGAACCTCTTTCAACGCGCAATATTACTCGACACCTAAAGCCGTCTCTTTGTACGATAGAGTTAGTTTTAGGAAAGAACGAATAGAAAGTAATAATAGCTATTGGAGTAACCTAAGCAGACTTTATTTACTATTACTATTATTATTTTTACAACAGAATCGAATATATGCGTATCTTTTATATACAAACATGCTTAAGTTTGCTATTTAGAAGAAAAATAAGAAAAATAAGAAGAAGTACTAAAGAGAAACTTCAACTCGTTTGTGCAAACAGAAATAAACTATCCAGAATTCAAAAAAAAAGAATTCTAAATAATATTTTGATTATCAACATATATATAAGTGTAAGTAAGTATGTAAGTATGTATGTTCGTTCATATAAGCCTAGTAAGCAAATAGTTAAACTGAGCTACCATTTCGGTTTTTTTTTCACTTACAAAGACTGAGATACACACCATTATTATTTTCAATACGCTTGGGTTCTATATTAATATTTCTTATATTTCCTATTATTTATATACATATAAATCAAAGCAATTATTTCAACCTCCTATATCAACGACTCAGCTTAATAATCATCTTGTTTTATTATTATTATTTTTGTTCTTTCACTTTCTACAATTCAGTTTCACCAAAAATATTTGCTGCTTAGTAGATAGATAAACAGCTTAAAAGGTAAACAATTTTTGATGAGCTAAAAAGTTTACTGCCTTGTAAATATTTCACCAAAAAAAACCAAAAAATAAATCTACCTATTTATCAATACTTAATCAAATAAAGAGCGTTTTTAAAAAAAACGCGTAGGTTTGTTATCTCCAAGGCGTGTACATTTTAATAGCTGTATGTTTTACAGAGTACACACGCAGATATATATATATATATGTATACATGGGTGCGTGCAATAAACCAGGTAATCCCAGCTTATATACACAAAATACACAATATATATATATATTTAAAAAAAAAACAGGTAAAGCATAATAATTGTTTGAGAAAAATCGATTTTTTTTATCAAAATACTCTATTTGATCGTAATATTGTATATAAATCTATACTTCTTATATATATATATATATATATATATCTTATTTGAAAACGACATGTACCACGATGCATTTTTCAAAACAAAAAGTATATTTAGCAAGTTTAAAGAAAGAAAATTATTCAATTTTTTTTTCGAGGCACAGTGTGTTGAGTTTTATAGGTAAAAATCACAAGCATAAATAGTCGTCCTTTTCTTTTACAGTACCAATACTTTTATTTGTACTTCTCTCTTTTAAATATTTATTATACATATTCTTTAAAATAATATAATGGAAAGTAGTTAACAACAATTAACAATTAAATACCGTAAACTTCTTTTTACTCAATTTTTCTTTCTGTATTTTTTTGGTCAGGTAAGAAAGAGACACTGAAAAGGAGAATAATAAGGTAAAGCAAAGTGAGAAAAAAAGATAGTTGGAAGGCTAGGGGAGGGATAGGTTAGTAAATCAGAAACCAGTTCAATTATGGTTTTCAAAGAAATATTTACAAGAGGAATATTTCAACAAACTATAAAAATAAGGTTGACTTTATAATAGTTAAATACTGGCTCCTTGGTATGACAATGTTACCGTAGGACTAAAAGAAAGAGCCCGTGGCTTTTATTCTTTTATTTATATATATATATATATTATTTATTATTTATTTTTATGCCTGTAACTAATATGCTTATATTAAAGCTCACAATAAAATTACCGAGAAAAAAAACAAAGCGTAGATAAACTAATACAGAATCGTATATATAATGACATACTAAAATAAAAGCAAGAACAAGAAGAGGAAAGGAGGGTACATATATATTTGTAGAATAAATGTCTAAAATAATCAATCTTTTTTTAGAAAAAAAGTCATGGTTTGAATTTTGTGTGTGAAATGAAAAAAAGTAACACCTAATAATTGCTGGTAAAACAAATGAAGGACCCACGGCAACGTGAAGACTGTTTGGATCGAAAGAGTAAAAATAAAAAGGCAAGGTTGTGCAAGTGAGGCAATAAAGAGAACTCAGATATTTGAGTGAAAAAGATTGACAAGCCTGTACATGTGTTTAGTTTTGGACAGAACAAAATGAAACAAAACAGACAAAATGATAAAAATAATCAAGAAAAGTAAATAATTAGACGATGATCGAGTTTATTTCTATTTTGAAGAAATAATATATATAGAAGCACCTCAAATTGTAATATTTGGCGAGTGGTACAAATGGAACATGGATCAAGGTGTTCACCAGATATATACCCTATTTTTTTTATTTATTTTTTGAAAGTAATGTCGTGCCAATATGCCACATTCAATAGATTATATCTTATAAATTCCCGGATTTTTCAATCTTATTTTTATAAAATAGTGTAAAGAAGGAGAAGAAGAAAAGTCTGATATCTATAGTCACTTAATGAGTTCATAATAAACGTATATATATTGTACCGATCAAAACAAAGTTAATATATCTACTGTATATAAAGAGTCAAAAAACACAAAGAAAAAATATTTAATCATACACATACACACAAAGACCAGAAACTATTAAATCAAATAATCTAGTATATGCATATATGTATTAAATAGATGTCGCCTAAAGGCTAGTTGGCTTATCGAAAAAAAAAATCAGTTAATTTATACAGTAACTCAATCAAAAGACGAGTCTTTTGGTCAATAATTTTGGTACCAAATCATAAATTATCTCTGTCCTTTTTCTTGTAAGCTCACTCCAGAATATGTATTAGTATAATGCACCAAAACAAAATAATAACTCGTTTTTATATAAGTTACTGTGCTCTTAATTAGCCGGTTATATAGATTACTTTTTGATAATATCAATACCCCCTCTTTTTGTCAATGTCAGCCAAAACAAAAAGTTTCTAAGCGCACTAAAATATCCAAGTTAAACTCTTCAACCGTTAGCATTTATCTTTGGAATATTGCCATTAATAGCTATTAATTCCCCTTTTAGTGCAAACTATTTCTCGAGAAAAGTTTTGAAAAAAAGAGAGGGATCCGTTAAACTTCAAAGACAAGTTTATTAAACTCTAAAGATCGGTCAATACTATCCAGTAAGAACTGTGATAGTACCTATTTCTAGCAATAAAAAGACTTTAAAAGAAGTCAAAGAAGCAAATTGTAGAATATATTGTTGACTTTAATCTGAAGCTGTCAACCTTACACATACAAATATAATTGAAATACATAATAGGTCCCCATTAACCTTATCAATTCAATTCGGGTCTTTTTTTTTTTTTTGCTGTATCCAAACCTTCTATAGTGACAGTCACGAAAGCAATATGTTTTTTTAAAAGGCAGAGGATAAAAGGAAGTAAAGGAATTTTCTTTGTAGTGGAGCTGGTGAAATTATATCAGGTTTTTTAGCACTGAAATTTGTTGTTAGTTAGTTTTCTTATTACACGAAAGAGAAGAAACACAGCAGGATAGACATAGTATATATGCCTTTTCAAACTCTTCTATATCTCTTTCTTTTTATTTGACAGTATTAATGGTTTTGTATTTATTGAGATAATAACGAAAATCAAGAATATGTTGGTCTACCCAATGAATATAACTAAAAAACTCAAAATATGCTCAGGAAATTTTACTACATAGTAAGAAAAATCAGTATTGATAGCAGAGCATGTTTCTCGTTTGAACGCAGTGTAAAATGTCATATATGGGTCTTGTGTTCATAATTATAAATCGGTGTCATATCATAGCAAATACTATACTACAAAGATAAAACCTTGGTTGAAAGTATAGCAAATAAAAAGCTATTTATTTTGCATTTATTGTTAATAAAGTACAGATATTCTACTATTAAAAAAAGTCTTTACCAACTGTGCCATGTTTTATTCTGCTTTAAATAAAAGAGGTACCGGTTTATGGAGCAAACAAAACATCAAAAAATGGCACAGGGTAATAAAATAAAAAACGGTTCTCACAGGCAGTGCTGATAGTAATAAAAAAAATCTATATTTGGGCATCAGAAATATTTTATACCTGCTTTTTAGCACGGATGTTTTTTTTTTTTTTTTTTTTTTTGGGGTTTGAAACATATTTGGTACGGACAGACTAAAAAGTTAAAAAAAAAAGTTCAAGCAACCCTGACTGACTAAAATTCTTCCATTGCCATTTGGATTGAAAAAAAAAACATGTTTTTGCTAAAAAAAATATTCTATAAAATGCAAGGCCTAGGAAACCCTTCAATAAAAAATTTTCCCATAATGAAAAAAATGTTACAATGAGCACAATATTATTTAATACCCTTTTAAACTGTTTTTTGAACTTTTTACCCGGTACACATCAATTGTTTCTTTTCCAAAAAAAAAATACTTTTAAAAACAAAAAATTATTCGGCTATCGATAGCAGTTTTTCCCTACATAGAAAAATTCCGGGAGCCCCTCTAGAGTCAGCTTAGGAAATATCACTTTGAGCTCAACTCGAAGCCAATACCGACGGCTAAAAAAGTTTTGATCAATTATGCCAAGCTAACAAAAGTCACGCTCGATTGACTGACCCAATTTGAATGGGATTCCTTAAAGCAAAAAAAACTTTAATAATC